AGGGGGAGTGGTGGTGCAGAGGTTAGAGAAGGTGGGCCTGTGATCGGAAGATCACTGGTTGAAGCCCCGGTACCGACAACATCAAAAAGGTTGGTGGGGTAGGTGAAGCACCCACACCTGTCCCCACCCTCATTCGTCCCACTCTGGGCCCTTGAGCAAGGCCCTTAACCCCCACCATCTGCTCCTCCGGGTGTCCTAGATAGCAGATCTCTGCTCCACACAGAGGGCTGTGGTAGCTCGGTGGTCTGTGGTTGCATCATAAAGGGCATCCGGCATAAAAATAACTGCCAAGTCTTCGTGCGACTTAGTTCGCTGTGGCGATCCCTGAAGAAGGGAGCAGCCGAAAGAAGAAAATATTTATATATTTATATATATCTTTAGGAACTGTTTATTTTCTTCCATAGAATGGTCCAGTAAAATTGACTGGTGCAGCACATCTAATACTTTGGGTTTACATTTGTTCTGTTTTCCTGCTCCCAAAGCTCCAAAACTTTTATTTATTTGTTTTATGATTATTTTCGTTTTATCAGTGACTGAAACTGGTCGCAACTTGAAAAAAGCTGAAAAAAGTTTTAGATGCACAGTTCTTAAACTGAACAAATCTATTGAATCTAAGAAGGTGAACTGTAACTACTCACTGCAGGCTGCTCTAAGAGGTTTGTCAAGTAAAATCTACCAACTAGTCAAATACATAAAACTTGTGTGGGATGTGGCATATGAAATCTCTTGGGTGTTGTGAGAAAATCGTTGTTGATCTCTGGCAAACACAGCACCACTTTAAACAATGCATCATGTCGACAGTGGTTCCCCCCTTGGGACAAAGTGGCAGGAGAGGGTAAATTTGTTAACTACAGCACAACTAGTATATAATTAAGTTGTGCACTGTAGGCAAAAAGCATATATACTCCAGGAGCAAGCTGCAGAAAACAAATTACCATCATTTCAAGGCCAATACTTGATAAAAAAAAATTGCTTGTGTCCTAATAATATATCATTTGTCAATAGCAAAATAGAAAAGCCTTCCAGACGTGTGTACAAACTGGCAGGCTGTAATCATGTTGTCTTTGTGGTTGTCAACTGGCATTTAGAAATCCATGCCCCATGCTAAAATACTGACCTTTCACACTTCCCCCCCAGGCGTGCTTTCCTTCAAGTTATTGGAGTCGTTTCTCAACTGTGAAGTCAAAGTCATGTTGTGAGCCCCGTGTCCTGACCTCCATTTACTTCCCAGAGAAGACTCACTTGGCTTCAGTGGTTGAGAGGTCCAATTAGAGAGGGTTGTTTGTGTTCTCTGAGTCTGATTTTAATTTCTGCAGCCACTGAAACTGGGATGCAGCGGCTCAATGCCAGAGCACCACCTCTGTTGTACCGCGCTGCTCCTCGGAGTTGTTGTTAGTCTGTTTGAAAGTGAGAGAAAGTGTTTTAGAAACTCTGCTTAATTCAATTCAGTTTCTTTATATAGCACCAAGTCACAACAGAAGTCATCTCAGGGCACTGAACAAAAACATTCACATAGATTGAAAAAAGCCAATTAGTAAAAGTTATCTATCTAAGAATGCCAGCAGATTGCATTTAGGTTCCACTTCATCACAGTCTCCCATTCTGAGCAAACACTTTGGCAACAGTGGAAAGAAAAAACTCAATTTTAACCCAAAGAAACCTCCAGCAGAACCAAGCTCAGGACGAGCTTTGTAGAAGTAAGATTTTGAATTCTATTTTGGATTTGACAGGGAGCCAATGGAGAGAAGCTTCAACTGGAGAGATATGATCTCTCCTATATCAACTCTCATTAAAACTCTGGCAGCAGCATTTTGGATCAACTTAAGACTTTTTAAATATTTTTTGCACACCCAGATTGTAAACAATTACAATAGTCCCGTGTAGACATGATCAATGCATGAACCAGTTTTTCAGCATCATTTTTATATAAGATGTTTCTAATTTTAACAATAAGGTGGAAGAAGGCGATCCTGGTAACTTTTTTTAATGTGGGGATTAAAAGACATATCCTGATCAAAAATAACACCAAGATTTGTAACATTAGAGCTGGAGGCCACATTAATGCCATCTAGAGGAAGTGAAAGGTTGCAAAGTTTATTCCTAAAATGCTCAGATCCATAAACCACAACCTCTGTCTTGTCTGAGTTTAAAAGCAGAAAACTAAGGGTCATCCAGGTTTTGTCTTTAATATATGCTTGTAATCTAAGTAACTGATTGGATTCATTGGGTTTCATGGACAAATATAACTGTGTATCATCAGCAGACCAATGAAAACATATCCCATACTGTTTAATAACTTTACCTAATGGAAGTATATAAAGTAAAGAATATTGGTCCAAGCACAAAACCCTGAGGAACTCCATGCCTAACTTTGGTGTATTACAAACTGGAATCTATCAAATAAATTTGATTTGAACCCATTTAGAGCCATGCCTGTAATTCCAATATCATATTCATGCATCAGTAGTAAAATATTGTGATCAACTGTACCAAAAGCAGCACTGAGGTCTAACAGGACCAGTGTAGACACCAGTCCATTGTCTGAGGCCATGAGAATATCATTAGTAACGCTCACCAATGTAGATTCAGTGCTTTGATGAGCTCTAAACCCTGACTGGAACTTAACACCTGCCATTCCCGAACAAAATGTCTGATGGGACAGATTGTTTTCTGATAAATAGTTAAAGATTGTTGACATGGGGTTCTGTGGTAAGTTATGAACAATCCATATTATATTTGTCATAGTTCTTTGAGCAACCTCAGTGTGGGGATTCTGGTTTAATTCTGAGCTGACAAAGAAGCTAACCACTATTTTGACTGGAACTAAGATCAATTTAAAAAGTTTTGAAAGTGGTCCGTCCCAACGCTATTTTATAAACCTTATGATTATTGCCAATTTTGCATCACAACATGTTTTACATAGACTCCTATAATTGTTTATAAGAACAAATAGCAACAAAGCAGCAATTTGCACTTATTTCTTAGCTTGGGTTAGCAATTAGACCAATTTAGTCAGAATGTTTTCTAATTCCACAAATAATTATCCTAAATAGCTCGGATATTACGTGTTCATAACCCTTTCGCAAACCCCTCTTCAAAAGACGTGAAATAAATGTTCATCTTGGGTTTTATTTTCTCCAACTAGGCAGACAGTAAATGTGACAAACTAGAATCGAAGACAAAAATCTGATTCAAACGAGAGTGACAGGGGACAACATGAAGGAGGCGGGCAGGGCCTAATATAAATGATTCTCACTCATACCGTAGCCCCAGGATTCTACATCAGGCTTAACTAATGTGCAATTAAGCTGAAGACTGGAAGAAAATCACCTTGTAAAAACATTTGTCAAGTGAACTGTTTTGCTGTTCCGGGCTGCTAATTAACAAGGGAACGGGAAGAGGGGTTTGTTTGCGTGTTTATTTACATATACATGAAGAAAATAAATATCTGCACTGTTAGGGGAGAGCATTACTAAATCCCCTTCATATGTCTCTATTAGACAAGGCTGACATGTAGTCCCTATCATTAAGCAATAATAGTTTACTTTACAGCTCATGAACTACAGTATCAACAAATTAAGCCTAGCGATAGTGCAGAGTGCCAAGCGAAGCGTTGGGGTGTGGAGGGGGGTGTATACGGATGGGGAAGGGGGGAGGGCAGAGGGAGAATGCAAGGCTTTATTGTGTCTGTCACATTAAACGATATTGCAACCACACTCGGAGTAATGAAGACCACTTCTAAAGTCATTTAAAAGTCAAATCATCACCGTCTGTGAATTTCAATGATGTGTAATAGAAAGAACACGCCAGAGGCTTGAGCGGAGGTTGAGAGTGAGAAAGAGGACAGAGTGAGGCCAATGGGTGTCAGGAGTCAGGAAGTCGCTGTCCTCTCAGCAGACATAAAGGTGATAGATGAAACTACAAGGCTGGAACTGCTGCGTGGCTCAGGGGAGAGGGAGGTGTAAATGCAGGACGGTGCTTTGCGTGGAACATTTTAGCAGGATCTGACATGCTTCAGAAGGTGTGTATGTAACATATCTGGGACTGGGTGTGCATGTGTGTGCAGATTCGTGAGTTCGAGGCGGTGGACATGAAGGTGGACGACTCCCGGGTGTGGGTTCCCAGTGAAGAGCCCATCGTTAACCCAGACTTCCTGCTTGACTCCAAGATCTGGGAGATTTGCCAGCAGCTGCCTATCCACTGGATCCATCCCTCCCCCATGACGGGTGAGAGCAGGGGGCAGCACTGCCTCTAAATGCAAACTATTAGGACTCTCGCTGAAGGGCATCCCCACAGGCCGAATGCAGGTCCACGGAGACGGCATGATTTACCAACCGTATGAGCAGCCTGCTCTCTATATGTCAGGAAAGTTTAGAAACTGAAGGGCTGTGGTGGAAAGAAAATTCAAATCCTTTTGCAGAAAAACACAATGACAGTCATAAAGTATAACAAGTAAACACTCATTTAAAGTTACTAAAGTGTTATCAGCAAACATGTTTTAGTGAAACTTGTATTTTTATCAGACATTTATGTAAACATGCAGGACAACTCGCTAATTAACTTGTTTCTACCTTCGTTGTGAATGCTGAGACTTTTATGTGCAGATGAATAATTTTGCATTAAATATATTGTTACATATGTTAAATCTCTAAGTATTTCACAAAATATTGCATTTTTAAGCCTGTCTCTCCTTCCCAAACTACAAAACCACTCGGTTAGCTTTGCTTTGTGAGATGGCAGACCAGATCAAAAACTGAGAGACCATAGCAATAAATATAAATAAAGCATTAGCAGCTGGGACTTTTGTGAGGAAGAAACGCTGCAGATTACAAAAAACCTTTGTTTTAGAATGAAAATACAGGCAAAAGCCAAAAACAGCCACTTTTGCACTTTTACCTGAACATCACAAGATCTAACAAAGATAAATTTCTTGCAAATTATTGAATAATTCTGTTATTTTATTTTTTTAAACTGGCCTCTTGTTTTCTTCAAATGAGACACACCAACTCATTAACACAAGAAAAAGAGCAGTTTTATTAGATGACTAGATACTGTAATTAAAACCCTCTTTAAATGCAGCTGTGAACAAAAAACAAAACTGAACTCAACAGAAACTGTAAAAAAAAATATGACTGAGCAAGAAAATGCTTGTAATTTATTGTTTTCCATTCAGATGTGCAGAGTTTAGTTGTGAGTCTCGGCTCATTATGTTGCTGTCTGACCTGTAATTATTTGTTTTTTCTTCATTCCCTTTTGCAAAATCTAAAAATTCATACAATCAAGTCAGCAGGAAACAACAAATACATAAAGTTAACAAGCAGCAACACAAGTTGTGTTCAAATTATTGGTTAAAAATAGCAGAAACTTGCATTCATCCATTGATTTTATATATATATATATAATTATTTATATATATATATATATATATAT